TTCTTTCTGAAGAAGGGTCTAGGCCCGAAATGTCAGCCTTCCTGCTCCTCTGATGCTGCTTGACCTGCTGTGTTCATCCAGCTCTACACCTTGTTATCTCAGATTCTCCAGCATCTGCAGTTCCTACTATCTCTGAAACAAATGTACTGCTGATGTCAAATGACTGATGAGGTAAAAAATGTTAGTACATTGCAATGGGCCATTCAGATTATCTACATGTCATTAGCACTTTATACAACTCATTTCAGATGCTAGAAAGATGCCTTCTCTTTCCAAATCTTTTATTTTCAGTTATTTGTAAATTTTTTCTACCTCCTATAACGGATTTAGCATATTTAAATACCTCACCAGCCTATTATTCCTCTCTCCACACTTCACTACATATGCAGTGTTTGCAACTAATCAGGATTTACAGCAAAGAAACAGGTCCTTCATCCAACACGTCTATCTTAGTTGATTTGCTACTGTGTTGAGGGCTTTAGCCTCTTGCAAGGTACTTGCACTTAATGAGGCAGCACTTATGTTAGCTCCTGTAATGCAAGAACTAGACATAGGTAACACGGTACTGAAAGATTCAACAGATGTTTATTACAGCTCCTGGTATATAAATATATTAGTCACAGATACTTCAGTAACTGGGCTTACACTAAGCTTTTCTGAAGAAGGGTCTAGACCCAGAACGTCAGCTTTCCTGCTCGGCCTGCTGTGTTCATCCAGCTCTACACCTTGCTTTCTCTTATACTAAGCTATTTGCTTACAAACAGCAGCATGTTTCCGTCAGCACATCAAGCTTCAAATGGCCCTGGTTAAGAGAGATTGAGACTTCTAGATCCTCAGATCACATGGTAGAGCAATGATATCGAGCTTGTCTCTCAAAGGTATATTGCACACTAGTTGTGAGACATAACATTGGTGTTTATACTCCACAAGAGAACCCTCTCATTCTCATCATCTTACTCTATCAGCATACTCTTCCATTTTTGTCTCCTTTTATATGCATCCTGGTTATTTGCCTCAACTGCTTCATGTGGGAATGAGATATACGTTCTAACCACTTTCTGGAAGGTTTTGCTGAAGTAACTACTGAATTTATTAGTGACAATTTTGTAACAGCCCCAGTTCTTGCTTTGCCCCCAAGAGGCATCTCTATGTCTACACTACTGAATCATTTTATTATTTTGAAGACTTCTGTTTACCCCCTCAGTCCTCTCCCTGCCTGTCTTTTCAATCCTTCAGTTCCAGTGTGCTTCTACTAAGCCTGTTGTGCTGTTTCACTAGTGCTTTGAAATCCTTTTCATAATATGGAGGTCAGTTTTTTATGTTCTATGAAAGCTCAATGTATCTTCTCTGTTGTTCGATCTTTCCTTTGAGAGATGGGGCCATGCTCTGTTGTGGTAGCATGGTCCAGGACATCACCGATCACTAGCTGGCTATTTATGTTGGCTCAATCTGATCTGATTATTAAAATAATCCTTAAACAACAGCTCGCCAGCCCAGTTTTAGTACTCAAAGGCTTAAGTTTAAGGAACATATTTGCCAAGATTTTGAATAAACTGGAAGAACCGAATTATTAATGTTCTTCCTGATGCTTGTGTCACTGATAGCACTATGGTTTCTCTTTGGCTGTGGTGTGCTGTGGGCACTAGCATAGTGCACAGTACATGTACAGTTTTACCTGAGGGTAAATGTAGTTCCTATATGTCTACTGTACATATAACTAGACTGCAATGACTGAAAAATCACCAGATTGCAAAGTTTGGCTGACAAGTCTCCAATTCTGGGACTGGAGCAAAACTGTAGAGAAACAACTTTCTGTAAAGGAAACTACTTGCCTGGATTTGTAATACTAAATTATCAAAGTTTATACATAATTAAAGTTATTTTTGATAAAGGCTTTGTGGGCTTAATACATTAGAATCTTTATTTTGTTCAACTATTCATCGAATCATAAAGCATAAATTATTTGTATGTCACGCGTTTGGAATAGCTACAGTCCACTCCCCTTCTCTTTGCCTATCGCCCTATCTATTTTTCAACTATTTAAAAAAAACAATTTCCTTCCTGTTGAATTTCCCCAACTAGCCTCTCAGGCTCAATTCCCACTGGTTCATCTTTGTTATAAGTCAGGAAGGTCCAACATTTGCATTTGATCTGACCTAGTGATTGATTGAGCCAAACAAATTTCCAAAAAAGTTCATGAGTTTTATCCCCCATAATTTCTGTACTGGGCGATATGATTCAATGAGATTGCGCTGAAGTATCAGCTGTAACACAAAATTTGTATCCAGCTCTCACTAGACAGATAAGACAGCAAATATCCAAATGAAGTAGGGATCTTGACTGCTGTCATATATGCAACTGAACAAAGATCGGATGGGATGAGATCCTGCACAATCAGTAGGCAGTCCAAAATGATCCACAAATGATGACCACTTGGATCAGGTGATGAAAACTGTCAGTCCCAAGAAATCGTACCTCAATAGTCAGCACCTTTACATGAGGAGAAGAAAGGTGAAGAGGCTGCATATAATCTAAAATACATGCTCCCATCCCTCTTTTCTCAGTACCATTTCCTGACCATTATTCTTCACAGAAACCCAGAATCTCACCCTCCAGTTTTCTTACCCATCTTGCCCTCCAGTGACTGCACTTTCAGCTCCATTTCTGCTCGAGTCTTTTCACTCTTTTGTAATTTTTGCAGCAAACTTCCCACATCCACCATTGCTCCATTATAAACGATCAAGTTGCTGCTTTCTGACCCATTGCTGGATTCCGGTTTCACTGTTAAACTAGGCAACAAAAGTTTGTTTCCTATAATAAAATATGAAGAGGCATGTCATCACTGGGAATGGATTCAAATTTAGCCCATAATGATAGAACAGAAGTTACTATTTTTATGGAAAGTGAACTTGTGCAGTTTTAAACAATATACTCGGCCTGGGTGTGTTTGATAAGGACAATGCAGAGTTAGCTTGACTCTGCTATTTATCTGACCAGGCAACATCAGAGGAACAGGAAAGTTGTAAGGGTCCTGACCCAAACGTCAACTTTACTGCTCCTCTGATGCTACCTGGACTGCTGTGTTCCTCTAGCTCCACATGGTGTTGTCTCTGACTCCAGCATCTGCAGTTCTTGCTATCTCTGCAATTTATCTGTTGTGCCTACCCTTGGGAGTACGCAACTGTACAGTATTACTCCTGGTTACTACCAGGGAAGACGTGATGGAGATGAAAAAAAGAGAAAGTGTTCTTACAGGAAGAAGGGTGGAAAGAGGAGCTATTAGAAAGTTGTCAGCTGATAATATGGATGGCTTATCCCTAGAGATGGAAAGTCGAGAACTTGAGGAATGGAAGAATCAGGGGTGGTTTGACTGAATGGAATGGATGGAGGTTAGAAACAGAATTAATGAAATTTGACAACTAGAGTGAGAACAGAAATAACAATGTTAGAACTTGCTTCCTTTTCTTACTGCAGAATTTTAAAATTTTATATCATAAGCTCTACTGGCTGATGTGATACAGAATTGTCCTGCACCACATCAGAAATAGGAGTCAGTAATTCAGCCCCAAAGCCCACTCCATCAGTCGATGAAATCATGGCTAATCTTCTACTTCAACACCATTTTCCTGCACTATCCCCATATCCCATGATTTTTAAATTTTATTATTTTTCCTATTGATCTCAGTCCTGAATGTGCTGTATGAATGAGCCTCAACTGCTCTCCAGGGAAAAGATGTCCAAACATTCACCATTCTTTGATCAAAGAAACTCATCATTACAGACTGAAATGGCCTGCTGCTTATTCAGAGACTGCATCTCCTGATTCTAGAGGTCCCCAACCAGGAAAATATCCTCATTGCATTTACTTTATTAAGCTCTGTAAGATTTTTTTTTATTTTTGAATAAAATCACCCTTTAATTTGAAACTCCAGAAAATATAGTCCCAGTTTTTTTTCTACACAATGTGTGTTTGAAATGCACTCCCTAGATGGGTAGTGGAGGCCGGTTTAATTGAGGCATTCGGGGACATTAGATGTTTATTTAAATAGAAACAATGGGCAAAGTTATGTGGGAAGGTAGGAAGTTGACACTATGTCAAAATGCTCACCCAGCTCGGGCAGACATGATGGGCCAAATGGCTTCCTTTTGCAAAGTAACAACTCTGAGATTAACTGTATTTTCCTTTCCTCATGAGACAATCCCTCCATTCCAGGAATTAGTTTACTGAACTTTCATTGCATTCCCTCTGCAGTAAATATCTTACCTTAGCTAAGGAGAGCAAAACATAGGAAGAGTAGGCCATTCAACCCTTGAACCTTTTCTGCCATTCAGTGAAACCATGGCCATTCTGTGCTCTAACTCCATATTCCTGCCTTTGGCCCACATCCTTTAACACCTTTGCTTAACAAAAATGTATCCTTCTCAGATTGAGAATTAACTGAACTAGCGTTAACTGCCATTTGTGGAACAGAGTTCCAAACTTCTATCAGCCTTGTGTGTACTAGTGCTTCTGTACAACTCTTCTGAACTGTCTGACCCTAATTTTCAAACAACACCCCCTATTTATAGAATCCCTAATTAGTGGAAAAAGTTTATTTTTATCTATCCTGTTTTTTCCTGTTAATACCTTGAAGACTTCCATCAGATCACCTCTTAACTTTCTAAACCGTGCACAATACTTTTATGTGTGGTCTCACAAAAGTTCTGTATAATTACATGAAGACATCTTTACTCCTATGTTCAAATCCAATTATGATAAAAGTAAATATATCATTTACCTTAATTGCTTACTGTACTTGCCTGCTAATTTAAGAGTGAGTGACTCATGAACAAGGTCCCTAAGTTCCTTTGAGATTCAATACTTTTCAGTCTCACTATTTAAATATTCTGTACTTTTGTTTTTCCCACTAAGGTGGATAACCTCTCAGTTCTCCACATCATATGCCATCTTCCAATTTTTTTTACTCACTCACTTAACTTCTCCAAATCCCCTGAAGTATCTTTGCACCCTCCTTAACCCTCACTGCCACCAAGTTTTGTTTTATTAATTTAGTAAATATTACTTTTAACCCCAAAATCCAAATCATTAATATAGAATAGCTGGAGCCCAAGCACAAACGCTTGCAGTACCACATCACTCAGTCTGCCGTTGAGAAATGACCCATTCATTTCTTCTTTGTTTTCTATCTATTAACCAGCTCTCAATCCATGCCAGTTTATTCCCTCCAACCAGACTCCCTTGAATTTTATTTATTAAACTCCTGTGTGGGACCTTATTGAAAGCCTTCCGAAAAATTCAAATACACCTTATCCACCAGTTGTCTCTTATCTTTTCTGCTGGTTATAGCCTCAAAATAAAACTCCCAACAAGTTGTTAAGCATGGTTTCCACTTCACTAATTCATGTTGACTCTACCCGAATCTTCCATTATTTAAATGTCCTCCTATTTCATCCTGTTATAGACTGTATAGCTAATAAGACTGCGATACATAATGTTACTCTATAATCCCACTAACACTGACATGGAAGTTTTGAGCTCAGTTGCTTGCAGAACTTTACAGCAGCAAATTTTAAAATTTACTCCAAATGATTTTAAGTTTTAAAAATTGATTAAACAAACAATTGAAATCCTAGTTTGATATTTTAGGGTGGCACGGTGGCTCAGTGGTTAACACTGCTGCCTCACAGCGCCAGGGACCCGGGTTTGAATCCACCCTCGGGCAACTGTCTGTGTGGACTTTACACATTCTCCCAGTATCTGCGTGAGTTTCCTCCGGGTGCTCCAGTTTCCTCCCACAGTCTAAAGATGTGCACACTAGGTGGATTGGCCATGCCACATTGCCCGTAGTGTTCAGGGATGTGAGGATTAGGTGGGTTACAAGGGAATGGTTCTGGGTGGAATGCTCTGAGGGTCAGTGTGGACTTGTTGGGCCGAAGGGCCTGTTTCCACACTTTAGGGATTCTATGATTCTATGATGATTCTATGATATAATCGTAGAAAGTAAGGGCAAAGGCAAAAACCCACAGTGCAGGACATCAAGGAGAGAGAAAAAAAATGAAAGAGTTAACTGTTTCTTTTAAAAGCCTGTAGATTGTATGAAAGAAAGAATGCATGTGATAAAATTGTGATAAAATGGAGTCAACTTGTATATAGCTCATAGGTTGTTTTTGTCTCACACCTCTGGATTTAATGAGACAACCTATGAAAAAATAAAGAGACCAAACCTTGAGAGGTTTCTGCAAATAAATGACTTGGATTTTTTTTAATAATTCTTTCGTGGATTTTGAGCATTGCTGGCCAGTCCAGCATTCACTGCCTATCCCAAATCTTCTGAGTGACTTGATAGGCTATTTCAGAAGGCCATTAAGAGTTAACCACATTAATCTGGGTCTGAATAGGATTGACTAGGTAAGAAAGGCAAATATCCTTTCCTAAAAGACATGAGTGAATGAGGTTTCACAACAATTGACAATAGTTTCATGTTCGCTATTATTAAAACCAGCTTCAATTCCAGATTTGTCAAACAAATTCAAATCCCACCAGCTATGAAAGCATCTGGTATGTTTGTTATTAGTATCTACTGACGTAGTGTGGGCATGCACTGGAAATACTATCTACAAACTCAGAGACAATAAATGGTGTACTGTTCAGCCAGAGAGCATTTTTCTACAATACCATAAGCAAAAGATCAAGCTTCAATTTATAGATTGACTATCGGAGCTGGCTCTTACGTCAGATATAAAGAAAAGTATCTTGAGAAAGCTGATTCTTTAGGAGTTCCACAAATGTTACAGCCTGGGACAGGATGAGTTAGAGGAGGTGCAATACCTAACAAATGATCAGATTCCACTTCGCTCTCTGTCACTTTTACTTCATCTTTTGAGCCATCAGTTAGTTTCCTGTACAGGCAAGAGTCTCGCAGCACAACTTTGCTGATTAACTTCTTCACCTGGAAATAAAAATAAAAAAATTGACCATTGCTACAGGGAAACTGATCAGTTTTCTCCTTTGAACTTCTGGAAGTCTTAATTCTTGTTGACTTCTCATTCTTTCCTACTTCATTTCTGAACATAGACAGGGAATGTCCACAGACATTTTATTTACAGGAGGAACTGTAACTGTTTCTCATCCTAGAGCAACACAGCATGAACCAATGCAGCAATTAGGACTGGTTGAATTTGCCCTCGCCAGCTCAAGGGCAGAAGTCAAACGTTACGCCAGTTGTGATCAGCTAGCACAGGTTAGTCTTGGAATAGAAGACTGGTATCTCTCAATTTTTCAGACAGCCAGATATCGACTTCACCGAGGTGGTGTTTATTTATTAATCGGAGCCACAGTGACAGAATAACCCACAAACAGGAACACATTTTCCCCAGTCCATGGATACTTAGATAATTTGTCCGTCAAGATTTCTACCACAGAGGGATTATAGTACAACTTTTTCCTAGTCTGCCCAAATCTCTGAATTTATATACTGTTTATTTGTACTTTTGCTTACTGGCTAAGATTCAATTATTTCACTGTAGACTTTGTTAGTGGCTGATAAGTGCCTCATCATGTGCTTCGCCGTTGATGTGTTTCCTGACTGTGACACCGTACACCCAATGGCACACAGGTATTTCTGCCATAACGCAAATTGGCTGTAACGCGATTGATAAATAGTGGACACTGTTTGGATAATGCAAACTTTCTACTGTACAGGTATAGCAATTTTTGATAGTGATTTTCTACAGCAATTTTCTATAGTGCGAGGTCACACAAGAATGCAACTATCGTGTTAAAGGAGAAATACCTCGAAAATAAGTGAACAAGTTATACCTGTGCACGTGAAAGATGGAGTCCAAGAGTGTAGATGATTTCTTCAAGATCTTTCTCAAGCAGAAAACCACAGTAACTTTGATCAAAATATACAAAAGCAAGAAGAAGATCCTTGTTGTGCGTGAACAGCTGTTTCTTTTCCTTAAAGAATCAAGACAAGTATAGTCAGACTTCAAAACCGATTAGTTTTTTTAGGCTAAAAAATGTACATTTTTCCACCTTAGAACAAACAAAAGAACAAATAACAACACAGCATAGGAACAGGCCCTTTGGCCTTCCAAACCTACATCGACACGTTTTGCCCTTCCATGTTAAAACTGTCTTCACTTATAGGACCTGTACCCTTCTATTCCCTTGGTATTCATTATTTGTCCAGGTGCTTCTTGACTGCTGCAACTGTCTCTGCTTCCACTGCCTCTTCTAGCAGCGTGTCCAGGCACTCACCACCCTATGTGTGAAAAACGTGCCTCGCACATCTCTTTTAAACTTTTCCCCTCGCACTTTGAACCGGTGTCCCCGAGTAATTGCCCCCTACAACCTGGGAAAAAGCCTCATACTTTCCACTTTATCCATGTCATTCACAATCTTATAAACTTCTATTAGTTTAACTCAACCTCCTGCGTTCCAGTGAAAACAAACCCAGTCTATCCAACCTATCTTCATAGCTAAAATCCCCCATACCAGGCAACATCCTGGTGAACATTTTCTGTATCGTCTCCAAAGCATCCACATCCTTCTGATAGTGTGGTGACCAGAACAGTACGCAATATTCCAAGTGTGGCCTAATGAAAGATCTATAAAGCTGCAGCATAACTTGTCTATCCTTATACTCAATGTCCCTTCCAATGAAGGCAAGCATGCCATCGATCTTTTTTTACAATCTTATCTACCTGTGGTACTACCTTCAGTGATTCGTAGACCTGCACACCTAGATCTCTCTGCAAATCAACACTCCTAGGGGTTCTGCAGTCACTGTATAATTTCCACCCGTACTTGACCTTCCAAAATGCATCACTCCACATTTGTCCGGATTAAACTCTATCTGCCATTTCTCTGCCCATGCCCCCAACTGATCTATATATCCTGCTGTATCCTCTGACAATCCTCTTTACTTGCACTGAACCCCTAGTCTATGCTGTTACTGATTTAATTTGTGCATCGGTATTGGCACATTGGGACAATCACACTTAAACTGGTAAAAGTCTTGTGTAATACTGTCAATTCATCTGCAAAGTTGCCAATTCACCAGTACTTCCCCAACCACCACTACCTCTAACACAAATGTACCCACCAAAACTTCAGTTTGCTTTTAAAATAAGTTCTCCGCACACAATACAAATTTGATTCTACTGCGAGTTCTGCTGTAATGCATGTTCCGGCAATGCAAATTGGCTATAACATGATTGACGAACAGGGGAACACTTTTTAAAACATGAACTTGTGTTGGCTATAATGCAATTCTATCAAGTACGCATCGACATTGCGGACTTTGTCAAAAGAAAATTTTTTTTTGGATCCTTGCAGATGGTGTAAATGTTCAGAGTAAGTCATAATGAGCTCATTTCAGAAAGGTAATTGGACTGTACGTCATAAACCTCAAATATAATATCACGCAGAGAACCGTCTTATTAAGAAAACGTGAAGTTTGAAAAGTTTATGCTAAATACATTAAATACAAGAAAATGAAGATTAGTTTAAAATAATATGAGTGCTATTAAAACATGCACCTTTATGTGTACTATTTTTGCCTAGATTTTGTTACATATTAAATATGTAAGAACTTTTGAACTTGCTCATGCAAATTATTTAGGTGTCTGCTCAAAAAAAGATGTCTGCTCTTTTCCAGCACTATTTTGAATACAACGCTACTCAGGTTTATTGTGCATTTTAATCCTATAATTAACTTCATTGTCAATGGGCTACATAGGAAAGAAAAGGTCAGATTCCTCTGCTTCACTTATCTGCAAATCTCTCAGATGTCTGTGCGGATGGAATGTCAGGTCAGATCAGCAATGGGTTAGATTGTGGTGCAGACTGTGTTAAATGAATAGATATTATTTGATTGCAAGTGTCAAGGCTTAGACAAGTGACAGGCAGGGACCAATACTTATTGGAGAGTGGTGAAGAAGAATTTTGAGTGGTTTTGAGTGATTTTTTTGGTCATCTGCCTCTAACACCACTTTTCCCACAGGCCCAGTTACTTCCATAATGCAATTTTGCACTGGAACGCAAACATCGTGTCATAGCAGAACTCCCTGTAATACTGAAAGTAATTACAAGATCATAATAATAGTTCTAGTTGATGTTTCTCACAGTTCAAGTGCAGAAAAATGAATATATGCAACATTCCATTTCACCAAAATGCTACTGACTGTACCAATCACAACTGAGCCTGCACCTTCTCTTTAGAAATGTTTTCTCTGGACCTCCTCGTTCCTTCCACTCTGTCATCCTTCCGATCTCGGTCGCTCTCTTCCTCATCTCTGTCTGTTGAGAACAAGGTTTAACAAAACATCAAGAGAAGTCACTCATAGTAAAGTGAATTATAGTGACAAAACCACTAAATGTACAATCCATTATTGAGCTGCATGATGGAGCTGTGGTTAAGGTCAGCTGTTCCTAAAGCCAGACAGATTACTTCTAAGTTTTTAGTTTCATCTCAGAAGAAGCCACACACATGTTGAATATCCCCAGGGGCATCACAGAGTGAACAAAACTAAAAAGAGCCAAGGACAAAGTAGCCAACTTGATTGGCACCCCAAGTACCATTAAATTCAATCCCTCCCTGTACTGCAGCACATTCCAAACTCAAGATTTCTACAATGAAGATCCTTACTGACAAACAATTACTAGACTCAAAACACTAACTCTGTTTCTCTCTGCAAAGATGCTGCCAGACCTGCTGAGTTTCTCCAGTACTTAATTTTTTTGTTTTACCACTTAGATGAACAAGGATAGCATTCATGTGGGAATATTATCTGCAAATCTTACAGAATCCTGATATGGAATTGCATGGCCGGGTTAAATGTTGTTGGGTCAAATGTTGTTGGGTCAGGATCCTGGAACTCTCCTCCGAGCAGCAGTAACATAGACCACACAGGCTGCAGAGGTTCAAGAATGTAGCTCATCACCACCTTACAGGAGATGGATAACAAACGACAGTGATGCTGACACTCTGTAACAGCATTTAAAAACAGCTTGACTGGAATCAAGTCAAAGCTGTGACCAGGTTGCAATGGAATCAGTCAGAGTCAACAGATCCTTTGATGAGTGTGGTGGTAATTTTGTTAAGTTTGTGATATTCCAGACTAGTGACCCAGAGAAAACAAAAAAAAATCATAGGCCCTGGAGGTTCTATTCCTTCCAGGTACCTTATAACACCCCCACCCACAACGCTCAGCTTCTACCCCTCATCATTTAAGCGCCCAGAATTAGAAATGATTGGTGGGTTTAGCAAATCTTCCTGGCTTTCATACACTTTATCCCTATGAATGGTGCAAATAAATGCTAGCCAAGCCAGTGATATCCACATCCCACAAAGAAATTAAAACCCTGTTCCACTCTCATCAACTCATTGAGCGAGAAGTGGGGCCTGAAGGTTGGGAGGAAGAAGCCATCAAGAGAAATCACTAAGAGGGGGTATAAAAGTCATAATGCCAAATGGGTGGAGAAGCAGACTTCAGACACCACGGGAGACCACAGAGCAGGATAAGAAAAAAAAGTGGTGGTGGTGGTGGTTAGGAAGTCAGGTCAGAATGGCCAAGCCAAGCCAAGCCAGGGCTACACACAATATCAAAGGAAGAGGTTGACAAGGATTTAGAGTTGATATCAGGCACAACTATGCTTTAGTTATTGGATCTTGTAATTCAGCCTACAACAGACCATGCAATGGAATTCACCATGAGATAGCAGATGAGCCAAGAGAAAGAATGAGGGGCTCGGTGTCTGCAGCATCCCAATGGGCCAATGACTGCTGTTGCTCAGAACAAGAGCAATCATTGGACAATTAGATGGTCTATGTGCCAGACTAGTTGATTTGGAAAATGGCTGAGTAGCGCATCAATCGAGTTGGCTAACGAATCTGGGTGGTCCAGGGGCACAAACCCAGGAGATTGGGACCATCTGTAGCCTACTATCCTATATCTTGATGAAATATAATCACGAGAGAGCATGTCAGGGAGCCTGATTAAAAATTTGAGAAACATCCATGAAAGAAGATTTAAAACAGAAGATAAAATGACTGACCTAGATGAAGAAGTGTGGTTCAATGGCTGCATGCAAAGAAGAAGGGGGCTTGCTAGCCAGGCTTAGCCACAATGCTCGGATGCAGAGGATGGTCAGACAGGTTGAGGTCCAAAAATATAACGAAGTTTTAGGCCTCTATTTTGAGACATGATTGTGCATTTTGGAGGTTGAAGAAAAAATGAGATATGTATTTGAAGGTTAAAGTAATGTGGTTAAATTTACTTCGCTTTCATCAGTTGATAATAATTACAGATTTTGCATCAATGAAGGTGTGTCAGGAGCTTGACAAAAGTGAACAGCACATAAAAAACGAAATGTGCCATCAAAGATATGCATATAGAATAAACATCCAAGGATTATGTAATATCGAAAGGACAGAGATGGACAGAGGGGGCAGGGTCCTCTTGTTAGTAATAAATGAAATGAAATTGATATCAAGTGATACAGAGTCAGAGGGCACAGAATCTGTGCAGGTAGTGTTGAGGAATTGCAAAAGGAAAGAAGACCCTGATGGGAGTTACAGCCCTCTGAGTAGCAGTCAGGATGTGGGGAAGAAGATAAATCAGAAGATAGAAAAGGTATGTACGAAAAACACAATTACAATAATCATGGGGGCCTTCAATATGCAGCTGGACTGGAAAATCAGGTTGGTAGCAGATTTCATGGAAAAGAATTTGTGCAATGTCTACGAGATGGTCTTTTGGAGCAGCTTGTGGTACAGCCCATTAAGGAACAGGCAATTCTCATTTTATGACATGTAACAAGGCAGACTTGATCATGGAGCTTAAGGTAAAAGAATCCTGAGTGACTATAATATAATAGAATTCACCCTGTGGTTCAAGAGGGAGAAGCAGGAATCAGATGTAACAGAATTACAATTGAGTAATGGTAACTACAAAGACAAGAGGGAAGTGATGGCCAGAGTTGACTGGAAGGGGTGCTAGCAGGGAAGATGGTACAGCAGCAATGACAGTTGTTTCTGGTGGTAATCAGTGAAGCACAGCAGAAATTCATCCCAAGAAGAAACGTACTGTGCGGTGAACAAGGCAACCATAGCTGGCGAGGGAAATAAAGGACAGCATAAAAGAAACAGGAAAACCATACAACGTAGTCAGGATTAGAGGGAAGCCAGAAGTTTGGGAAGCCTTTAAAAACCAACAGAGCGTAACTATAAAAAGCAATAAAGGGGGAGAAGATCAAAAATGAGTGCAAGCTAGCTAGTAATATAAAAGAAGATTGCAAAGGTCTTTTCAGATATCTAAAAGGTAACAGAAAAGCAAGGGTAGACACTGGAATGCTGAAAAATGAGGCTAGACAGGTAGTAATAGGGAACGTAGAAATGGCAGAAAAACTGAATAGGCACCATGCATCAATTTCCACAGATGAAGACACTAGCAAGTTATCAGAAATTCAAGAGAATCAGGGTGCAGATGTGAGCGCAGTGGCCGTCACCTAGTAGATGCTGAAAGGTCTGAAGGCAGATAAATCATCTGGACTGGATGGCTACACTGCAGGGTTTTGAAGGAGGTAGCAGAGGACATTTTAGAGACATTGGTGGTGATCTTCCAGAAATCACTGGAGTTAATGAGAGTCATGGAGGACTAAAAAATGGCTAATGTAACACCCCTGCTTAAGTAGTTAGGGAGGCAGAAGGCAAAAAATTATAGGCCAGTTAGCCTGACCTTGGTCAGTGGCAGAATGTTAGAGTCCATTATTCAGGATGAGATTGCACAGTACTTGGAAATGCATGGTAAAAATAGGGCAGTCAGCGTGGCTTCATCAAGGGGAAGTCCTGCCTTACAAATCTATTAGAAATTATTTGAGGAGGCACTGTGATTTACTTCAATTTCCAAAAGGCCTTTGACAAGGTGCCACACAGGAAGCTTCTGGGTAAGATAAGAACCCATGGTGTTAGGGGCAAAGTACCCACATTGTTAGAGACCTAGCTGACTAGCAGAAGGCAGAGTAGGAATAAAGAGGTCTTTTTGAAGATGGCAGCTAGTAGAGCTCCACAGGAGTCAGTGTTAGGACCACAACTATTCACATTACACATTAATGATTTAAACGTGAAGTTTGCAGATGACATAAAAGATAGGTGGAGGGACAGGTTGTATTGAGGAAGCAAAGAGGCTGCAGAAGGACTTGAACATGCTAAGCAAGTGGGCGAAGAGGCAGGTGTTGCACTTTAGGAGGAAGAATATCAGAGAACACCATTTTGTAAATGTAGGAAGGCTTTGGAAATCTGAAATACAAAGGGACTTGGAGCCATAATTCAAAATCTCTTAAAGTTAGGATGCAGATTCAGCTGGCAGTCAGGAAGGCATATGCAATATTAGCATTCATTTCAATAAGGCTAGAATGCAAGGGCAGACGAATGCAAGACCTTGGGGTCCAAGTTCATAGCTCCCTGAAAGTAGAGTCACAGGTAGTGAAGAAAGCATTTGCTATGCTTGCCTTTATTGGTCAGTGCATGGAGCATAGGAATTGGGATGTTATGTTGCTGCTGTACAGGACATCGGTTAGGCCGTTTTTGGAATAGTGTGTTCAATTCTGGTCTCCCTGCCATAGGGAGGACGTTGTTAAACTTGAAACAGTTCAGAAAAGATTCACAAGGACGTTGCCGGGGTTGGAGGGCTTGAGCTGTAGGGAGTGGCTCAATAGGCTTGGACTATTTTCCCTGGAGCATTGGAGGTTGAGAGGTGACCTTATAGAGGTTTATAAAATCATGAAAGGCATGGATAGGGTGAACTGCCAGGGTCTTTTTCCCAGGATAGGGGAGTCCAAAACAAGAGGGCATAGGTTTAAGGTGAGAGGGGTAAGATTTAAAAGGGACCTAATGGGGAAACATTTTCATGTAGTGGGTGGTGCATTTATGGAATGATCTGCCAGAGGAAGTGACAGAAGCTGGTACAATTACATTATTTAAAAGGCATCTGGAGGGGTACATGAATAGGAAAGGTTTAGAGGGATACAGGCCAAATGCTGGCAAATGGGACTAGATTTGTTTAGGATAAATATTCAGCATGATTGAGTTGCTCTGTTTCCATGCTGTACAACTTTATGACTAGAACACACAACATAGAACAGTACCGCAGAGGGACAGGACCTTTGCCCATGATGTTATGCTTTTCACAACACCAAATTAAACTAATCCTTTCTGCCTGCCCATGGTCTACATCTCTCCATTCCTTGCTTATTCATACGCCTACTGAAATGCCCCTTTAACACCCCTAATGTATCTGCTTCCAGCTGTACCCTTAGGAGTGCATTCAAGACTCCTACCACTCCCTGTGTAAAAAAACTTGCCCCTCACATCATCTTTGAACTTGCCCCCTCTTACCTTAAATGCATGCCCTCTGGAAAGAAGATTCTGATTGTCAACCCTATCTATGCATCACAGAATTTTATAAACACCTCAGGTCTCCCATCAGCCTCTGCCACTCCAGAGAAAAAACCCCAGTTTGTCCAGGTTCTCCTTATAGCTCACACCCTCCAATCCAGGTAGCATCCTGGTAAACCTCTTCTGCACCCTCTCCAAAGCCTCCACATCCTTCCTGTAATGTGGTAATCAGAACTGAACGCAATATTCTTAAGTGCAGCCTAAGCAAAGTTTTATAAAGTTGCTACTTGACATCCTGACTCATGTCCTTGATGCCCAACCAATAAAGGCAAGCATACCATATGCCTTCTTTACTACCTTATCTATTTGTGTGGCCACTTTCATTCAGGGAGCTGTGGACTGGGACCCCAAGACACTTTTGTGCATCAATGCTGTTCAGGGTCCTGCCATTAACTGTATACTTTTCCTAAACATTTGATCTCCCAAAGGGCAACACCTGACACTTGTCCGGATTTTAAACTCCATCTGCCATTTCTCTGCCCATATATGCAACTGATCTATATTCCAATGTATCCTCAGCAGCCTTCTACAATATCCACTACTCCCCTGACCCTTGACGTCTGCAAACTTACTAACCCACCCATCTACATTTTCTTCCAGAGATAGTAGGAACTGCAGATGCTGGAGAATCCGAGACAACAAGGTGCAGGGCTGGATGAACACAGCAGGCCAAGCAGCATCATAGGAGCAGAGAGGCTGACGTTTCGGGCCTAGACCCTTCATCAGAAAAGGGGGAGGGGAAGGGGGTTCCGAAATAAATAGGGAGAGAGTGGGAGGCGGATAGAAGAGGGATAGAGGAGAGGATAGGTGGAGAGGAAACAAACAGGTCGAAGAGGCGGGGATGGAGCCAGTGAAGGTGAGTGTAGGTAGGGAGTTAGGAAGGGGATAGGTCAGTCCAGGGAGGACGGACAGGTCAAGGGGGCGGGATGAGGTTGGTCGGTAGGAGATGGAGGTGCGGCTTGAGGTGGGAGGAGGGGATAGGTGGGAGGAAGAACAGGTTACTTCCAAGTCATTTATATAAATCACAAACTACAGAGGTCCCAGTACAGATTTCTGTGGAACACCACTAGTCATGGATCTTCAGCCAGAAAAATACCCTTCCACCACTACCCGCTGTCCTCTATGGGCAAGCCAATTCTAATCCGAATGGCCAAATCACCATAGAGCCCATGCACCTTAATTATCTGGATCAGCCTACCATGAGGGACCTTGTCGAAACCCTGACTAAAATCCATGTAAACACCGCCCACTGCTCTACCCTCGTCATCTCCTCAAAACAAAAATCAGGTTAGTAAGACATGACCTGTCTTGCAGAAACCCATCCTAACTGTCCCTAACTCGGCCATGCTTTTACAAACATACGAACATCCTACCCCTAAGAATCCTCTTCAACAGCATCTCAACCATCGATGCGAGACTCACCGGTGCGTAATTTCTTAGATCATTCCTATTTCCCTTCTTGAATAGAGGAACAATGTTAGCTACTCACCAATCCACAGGGACCTCTCCAGTAGCTACAAAAGATACAAAGATCTTGATCAAGGTCCCAACAATCTCCACTTTTGCCTCTCTCAATAACCTGGAGTAAATCCCAATGGGCACTGGGGACTTATCTACTTTAATGCTCTTCAAGAGACCCAACACCACTTTGTTCTCCACGTCAAAATGTCCTAGCATATTAGCATGCCCCACACTAATCTCACTATCCTCAATGTCCCCCGCCTTGGTGAGTAGCAACACAAAATATTCATTTAGGATTGTGCCCGTATCCTCTGCCTCCAAGCACAAGTTCCCTCCTTTATCCTTGAGTAGTCCTACCCTCTCCCTCGTTATCCTCTTGCTTTTAATGTATGTATAAAATACCTTGGGATTTTATTTAACCCTAATTGCCAAGGATATTTCATGGCCTATCATTGCCCTCCTAATTTCCTGCTTTCTTTATATTCTTCACAAGACCTGTCTGATTTAGCTTTCCAAACCTTATATTTACTTCCTTTTCCTTTTTGACTAAATTCACAACCTCCCTCATTATCCAAGGATCCCATACTTTGCCATCCTTGTTCTTCTTCCTTACTGGAACACGCTGGTCCTGAACTCTGATCAGCAGGTCTCTAAACTGTTCCCACATGTCAAATGTGGACTTGCCTGATAACAGCTCCTTCCAATTAACACTCCCTAGCTCCTGCCTAATACTGACATAATTTGCCCTCCCCAATCTAGTACCTTCCAGCAAGGTCCTGACTTACCCTTATTCATAGCTATCTTAAAACTTAAGGAGTTGTGATCACTGTACCCAAAATGCTGTCCCACTGTAAGGTCAGTCACTTGGCCAGGCTCATTTGCCAATACAAGATCCAGTATGGCTTCTCCTCCAGTTGGACTATCAATATACTGTTTTAAGAAACCCTCTTTGATGCACGTAACAAATTTTGCCCCATCTAAGCCTCCTGCTCTAATAAAGTCCTGGGCAATATGGGGGAAGTTAATGTCACCCACTATGACTACCCTGTTGTTTTTGCATCTTTCCATAATTTGCCCTTATATTTGTTCCTCAATATCTTAGTGTCTGTTGGGCGGCCTATAGCATAATCCCATCAGAGTGACTGCACCCTTATTTTTGAGCTGTACCCATATTGCTTCAGTGGATGATCCCTCCAATATGTTCTCTCTGACTGCAGCTCTGACATTCCCCCTGATTAGTAATGTAATTCCTCCACTTCTTTTACCTCCCTATCTCATCAAAAACATCAAAACCCTGGAACATTGAGCAGCTAGTTCCATCCTTCTCTCAACCAAGTCTCTGTAATGGCTACAACATCATAGTCCCATGTTCTGATCCAAGCTCTAAACTCACCTGCCTTACCACAATACTCCTTGCATTGAAAGAAACACACTTCAGCCCACAAGCCCCATCTTGTTCATTAACCTGTCCCTACCGGTCCTTCCTTTCAAACTTACTAGTCATTACATCTACCTTCTCCTCAATCCCTCCAATAGCTGCACTGCTTGCTCTGGTTCCCAGCTCCCTGCCACCCTAGGTTAAACCTCGAGTAGCACTAGCGAACCTCCCTGCAAGGATACTGGTACCCCACCAGTTTAAATGCAACCTGTCCCTACTGTACAGGTCATCCCTGCTCCAGAAGAGGTCCCAAAGATCCAAGAACCTAAAACCCGGACCCCTGCACCAGCTCCTTAGCCATGCATTCGTCTGTCCTATTTTCCTATTTCTATACTTGCTACCTGCGGACTCTATGTACTGCTGAGGCTGCGTAAGGCTCTGGTCAGACTGTATTTGGAGTACTGTGAGCAGTTTTGGGCCCCGTATCAAAGGAAAGATGTGTTGGCATTGGAAGAAGTCCAGAAGATGTTTACAAGAATGATCCTAGGGATGAAGGGCTTGTCATATAAAGTGTGATGGAGGACTCTGGGTCTGTACCCGCTGGAATTTAGAAAAATGAGGGATGATCTGATTAAAACTTACAGAATACGGAGGGGCCTGGACAGCGTGGATGTGGAGAAAAGATTTCCATTAGTAGGAGAGACTAGGACCCAACGGCACATCCTCAAAGGACAACCTTTTAGAACTGAGATGAGGAGGAATTTCTTCAGCCAGAGGTGGTTAATCTATTGAACTCATTGCCTCAGAAAGCTATGGAGGCCAAGTCATTGAGTCTATTTAAAACAAAGATAGATAGGTTGTTGATTTGTAAGGGGATCAAGGGTTACAGGAAGAAGGTAGGAGAACGGGTTGAGAAACATGTCAGTCATGATCAAATGGCAGAGCAGGCTTGATGGGTGTGGCCTAATTCTGCTCCTGTACCTTATGATCTTATGGTTCTGTTGTTCTCTCACTCCCTGCCAGACATCATTTGTTACTTTAGGAAAGTGGCTAGCACAATTCCTGACTTGTGTTTTTTTATAAGCTTTGAGATATGCTTTTTCATCAATCTTCCAAAAATAAATCTATTTTTCACAATTTAACATTTTCTGACAGGGACATTCACTATTTAAATGTTTTGCATCGTGTGGTTACTAAGCTTCCAAATGTGAAGGGTTGGATTTTTACTGTTTTACAGTAGTCACCATGTACCTCAGCCAAACACCTGCTGCTCATCTTAGAACCCAGAGATTTATTCTTGTGCCCAACCCTTTACTTTCCAGCAGTCGTCATCAGGAGGACAGCTGTCCAATTCTCCCCCTTTTCTGATCCTAAAGCTGCTGAGGCCACAGGTCATACCCTCAAGATCCAACAGCATTCCTACAACTTTCACCTTCATCATCTTCATCCTCAGCATCTTCTGCATCCAGAGGATCATAATCATCCGGGTTTGTGCCATCTTCCATTTCCTCATCTTCTTTAAAGTCGTCCCTTTTTCTTAAGTTTTTGTCATCTTTGTCTTTATCTTCTTTCTGCAAAGGTTCATTAACATACTTTGTTTAGACATTCCCTGTGTAAATTTATGATCTCTGTGTTGCAATTGTCAAATAAATAGCACACATTTGATGACAAAAGCAACAGACAGGTAAATACAAAACAAATTCATTGGTGGGAACATGGAGAATGAATGAAGAAGACAGTAAAAACATCAACATGCAAACGGTCAGACGAAAGAAACATTTTCACACACCGAGTTATTAGATTGTGGGATGCCCTGTTGATCAATTACACTAGTCAGGCAGCAGTTGGACAATTCCTGACAGAAGGAGAATATAGGTGGCTAGGATTAGTTTGGAAAAGCCCCCTAAATGTCACAGGCAGTATTTGGCCAACAAGATTATGGGCAAAGTCTGTTTTCAGCGTCTGAGTGTTTCTCAGACACATTGGTCTTAATATGAAGATAGATACCAAATATAGAGGAGGCTTTCTGACCACATCCAAGCCTGATCCAATCTTCAATCTATTTTTCATGAACTATAAACATGATGGATTTCATCCCAGAGTCTCAAAAGTGGCTGCTGATTTTAATTTTCCAAAATTCCTACATGTTGGAATTGGAGAGTAGCAAATGTGACCCTCTAATCAAGAAAGGTCCGAGACAGAAAACAGGAATGTCAGGAAATTGCTGGCAGCTATTAACAAAACAGGGCTTTTAGAAGCTCTTCATGACATCAGGCAGTCAACATGGTTTTGTGAAAAAGGAAAACATGCTTGACTAATTTATTAGAGTTCTTTAAAGAAGGAACAAACAACATAACTGAAAGGGAACTGATGGTTGTGCTATCCTTATATTTGTGGAAGGTATTTGACAAGGTGTAATATCAAATAGTAATGTGCAAAATAAGAGCTTATGGCATTGGGAGTAACATATTAGTACAAATACAGGATTTCTTTACTGATAGAAAGCAGAGGTGGGCATAAATATGCTGTTGAACAGGTTGTGACTGGTGGTGTGTCACAGAAATTAGTATTGAAACATTAATTATTTACAATTTATGACTTAGAGGAAGGGACTGAATGCATGGCTGCTAAATTTTCAGATGGTTCAAAGATGGGCAGGAAATTAAGCTGTGAAGAGGACAAAGGAGGCTGCAATGAGACAGGTTAAGTGAGCAGGTGAAAATTTAACAGATGGAACTAATGTGGGAAAATATGAAAATACATGAACTTGACTACTTTTACAGGAAAAATAAAAAAAAAACAGCACATTGAAATGGGGAAAGACTGAAAGAACACTGGTATATATAGAGGAATCTGGGTAACCTGATACATAAATCACAAAGTTAATATGCATTTACTTTCCCCATCACCTGCAATGTGGAATGCAAGTGGAATACATAAGTAGGGACAAAGACAGAAAGTGCTGGAGAAACCCAGCTGGTCTAACAGCATTTGTGGGAAAAGACTTAACGTTTCAAATTCAATAACTCTTCTTTAGAACCCAGTTTTCTCCAGCATTTCCTAATTTTATTTCAGATCACTAGCTTGTGCTGCACATTGTTTTTATAAAAACAGATAGTTTGCTATAGTTATATAGTATGTTCATGAAGGCCACCTGGAGAATTGTGCAGTTTTGGACTCCTTATTTAAGGAATAATGTAAATAAATCACAAGTGGTTCAGAGATGGTCCAAATGATATCTGGCACAGGGAGATTCTGTAGAAATTTTGAACGGCCTGATCTATATCCAATGGAGTTTAGAAGAATGTGGTGCGGTCCTGGGGAGGCAATGGCCTAGTGGTATTATCACTAGACGATTAATCCAGAAACTCAGCTAATTTTCTGGGGACCTGGGTTCAATCTTGCCATGTCAGATGACGGAATTTGAATTCAATAAAAATCTGGAATTAAGAGTCTAATGATGACCATGAAACCGTTGTTGATTGTCGGAAAAACCCATTTAGTTCACTAATGTCGTTTAGGGAAGGGAAGTGCCAACCTTAACTGGTCTGGCCTGCACGTGACTCCAGATCCACAGCATTGTGGCTGACTCTTAACTGCCCTCTGGGTAATTAGGGATTGGCAATAAATGCTGCCCTAGACAGACACCCACATCCTATAAGTGAATATATTGAAATATATTGAAATATCTTGGAAGGACTTAATAGGGTGGGTGCACAAGGGACTTTTCCCTTTTTGGAAGGGACTAGGGGACATGGTTTACAAACAAGATGTCTTCCATTTAAGACAGAGTAGGAGGACATTTTTCCCGAGGATTGAGTACTCTTCCCTTGGGGTGAGTAAGAGTTAGAGTCATTGAATATTTTTAAGATAGAGGCAGACTGACTCCCTTCTTAGTCAAGAATTTGATGTTATTGTGTGTTTGGGCGTGGGGGTGGGAAGAGAGAAGAGGCAGGAATGTGGAGTTGAGTCCACATTCACATCAACTATGATCTTAGTGAATGGCACAGCTACAAAGCTGAATGGCCTTGTTCTATTCCTAATTTGTATCATATGTTCGTTATACTTATATATAGTCCCTTGTTACCAAGTACCTTCCGTCCATCCCTCTCTTCTTTTTTATCTTTCTCATCTCCTGATTTCCTCCTTTTTGTCTTCGGTTCAATACTTTCTTCATCTTTTTCTTCCTTCTTTTCCCTTTTCTCACTCTCTTTTTTCTCCTCTTTGCGATCTTTCTTGTCTTTTTCTTTTTTATCATCTTTTTCGGGGACAGTGACCAGCGCTTTATATATTCGATAACCAAAGTCTCTCTGTAACATTTCATTGAAGAGTTCAGCAAACAAGGAGACCTGCGAAGTTAAAATGGTGCCAATGCATTACAGTTGCATGAGCCAGAGTACATACAACTGATTATTATTCACAGATTCCCAATGGAGCATCCTTATACCAATAATTCCTCACTGATTGACCAGAAACTGAACTGGCTGAGCCAGGTAAATACATGTGATTACAAGAGTAGGTCAGAGGCTAGAAATCCTGTAGTCAGTAACTCACCACCTAACTCCCTAAGCATGTCCGTTATCTACAAGGCACAATCAGAAGTGTGATGGAATACTCTCCACTTGCCTGGATGAGTGCTGGTCTGGCAACATTCAAGAAGCTTGACACTATCCAGGACAAAGCAGCTCATCCACCAACTTCACCATTCACTCTACCATTGCGCATAGGGCAGAAGTAGATATCAACTACAAGATGCACTGCAACAACTCACCCAGGCTCCTTCAACAGCAATTTCCAAATCTGAGAATTCTACCATTTAGAAGGACAAGGGCACCAGATGTATAGGAATATCACCATCTACAAATTTCTCTACAACCCACATATTGACCTGACTTGGAATAATATTGTTCTTCCTTCAACTTTGCAGGGGCTACATCTTGGAACTCCCACCCTAACGGGTGTTATTACAACACAAGGACTGCATAGGATTAAGGCAGCATGTCAGGACCATCTTCTCCAGGGAAATTAAGTGTGCATAATAAATGCTGGCCTAGCCAGCAAAACACACACCTATACATAAATTAAACCAAAGTCCGATTTCTTTTTTGGAGACAAAAAACACTGCAGATGCTGGAATCCAAGGTAGACATCTGGGACAAAAGAAGCAGTCAACATTTCAGGTATTACCCTTCTTCAGGACTAATACCCAAAACGTTAACTGCTCCTTTCCCCCAAATACTGCCTGGCCTGCTGAGTTCTTCCAGCCTCCTGTTTGTCTGATTTCTTTCTCCCGATTACTAACAGTCCCCAATATATCTGAGCGAGTAACCACGATACATAGGCACTTACTTCAAAAGAATGCTCTTTATTATCTTCCAATCGATAATCTAGGAGCACACTCAGAGACATGACGCTACAGTCAAACTTGCCCCCTTTGGCAGTCCAGTTAGGATGAACGATGATAGAAGGTTCATCAGGTAGGATGTAGCGTCTTTCACGTCGCTGACGTTCCACTTCTTCCTGGCGTTTCCTCTCCTCCTCCTAAAGGATGGGAGAAATTTAAGATTAGAAGAATAGAACAGTCCTCAACAAAAAGTAAAACACTGTTGGAGCTGTAAATCCAAAACTAAAACGAAGTGCCTGAGAAACTCACAGACAGCAAAGACTGGACATGCTGGAAGCTAGAGTCAATAAGTGAGGAGGTGGAAAAACACAGCTGGTCAGACAGCATTGGAGGAGCAGGGAAGTCAATGTTTCAGGCCAAAACCCTTCATCAGGACGAAATGTTGACTTTCCTGCTCCTTGCATGCTGTCTGACCAGCTGTGCTTGAGAAACTCAGCAGGTCTGGTAGCATCTGTACAAATGTATTGTGAGGAAAAGTCATATCAGATGCGAAAAGTCAATTCCTTTTCTTTCCACAGATGCTGCCAGACCTGCTGAGTTTCTTCAGCACTTCTTGAATACAACTTTTCAAAACCTCATTCAAATCCAGAGGCCCATAATTCTCTCAAGTTCCTGGAAATGGGTTTGATGATACATTCCCACAGTTATCAGCTGATTGGGTAGAAGGAGAAGACCCAGTAGAAAATAAGTCTTCAACATGCAGTATGCCAGTTCAAACCCACACACTGCACCTGCAATGTTTCAGACCTTTCCGCCGCTAGCTCCTGCACCCAGTTCCAAAGGTGGTGCTCCACACAGGTCTGCTAGTATGGCCACAGCACCCACAGTAAACTGGTGTAACCCTGCCCCCAGCTTGCCATGTGCCCATGTTCTTTGGACACAAACACCTTTAAGAATAAGTATGGAAAAATTGCATATGGTACCTCTTTGTCATCTTCAGATCTTTTATCGTCCTCGTCGTCATCTTCTCTTTCAGATTTCTCAGATTCCTTCTGCTCTTCTTTCTCTGCCTCAGTTTTTAGTTGTTTTGTTAGCCGGGCTATCAACTGGGATTTCAACCCCTTCGAGCTTTGATTCCTACTTTCCAATTCTTTTCGAAGATCGTTAACCTGAGAAAAGGAAGAATTTGGTTTAATTTAGTGCTCATTAAGAATACGGCTTGTAGCTGTTCCCATTGGTTCTGGTGCCCTTCAATCGATCTTCCAGTGTGCATCTCACCTATACCCTCACCTGATGCGTTCACAGAATTTTTCAGGTCTGGCTATGCTGGTTAATTTTCTTTTCTCACTCTCTACCCTAGTTTTGGAAGGCTGTGTAGCCCTGGCATTGAAAGCAAATTTGAAGGATGGCAGAGTCAAGGGAGAAGTCAAGAAATCAATTACATCCATTGTACATTGGATTAATCTAGACCCAATGAGTCAGCTCCTTGCTACCGCCTGAGGTGTACCTGATGAGGGAAGCAGGCTGAACCTGAAGAAGTCTGCTTGGGTATTTACACAGCAATCACTTCAGAAAATTATTCAAGTTTGGACTTGAGCTCGGATAGCTCACTCAAGAGATTATCCAACTTTTAATCTGAGGGTCCTGGGTTCATATTCCTCTCCTTGTACAGTCTTAATGCTGTGTGCAATGAACAGTCACTGACCAAGCAATTCAAGCTATACTTAAAGAGCTTCAAGATTGGACTTGAACAGATCAGAAAATGGCCTGTACAGATGTACATGTATTCACTTTATTGATAGATAGGTTCTTTTACAAGGTTTGAGAAGGTATATTAAGTCGAGATATGTGCCTTGATATGCAAGCTATATGATGAAGAACTCAATATTCAGATGGGGGTAAGTAGTGCAACAATTATCACCAAGTTTCTTCCTATCTGTACGCAACAATCACAAAAGTACTTCCCATTCCTAAATTCATACCGTGCAGAAAAGGCCCATCAAGTCTGCACCAACATAATTACCACTAAAAGTCCACTAATCCCAATTTCCTGCACTTGTCCCATAACCTTTGAATGTTATTATATTTGAAGTGCTCATCCAAATATTTTTAAAGGTTGGAAGGTTTCTGGCCTCCACTACCTTCCCAGGCAGTGTATTCCAGATTCCCACCACCTGCTGAGTGAAAAAGTTTTCTTTCCCCCAAATTCCCTCAATCTCCTGTCCCCTATTCAGCATGTCCATATCCCTCAATCTTATACACCTCAATCATGTTCCCCTTCCGTCTTCTCTGCTCTAAAGAAAACAATTCAAGCCTATCTAGTCTCTTCTTACAGTTCAATTTCTCCATCCCAGGCAACATCCTAGTGAACTTCCTCTGTACCCCCTCTAGTGCCATCACATCCTTCCTCTAGTGAGGTGACCAGAACTGCACGCAGTACTCCAATTGTGACCTGACCAATGCTCTGTCCAACTCCAACATTACCTCCTCACTCTTATACTTTATGCCACGACTAATGAAAGCAAGTATCCAACGTGCCCACTTAACTATCCTATTCACATGCTCTGTCGACTTCAGGGATCTGTGAATAATCACCCCAAGATCCCTCTGTTCCTCAAGGCTACCCAGTGTCCTGCCATTCACTAAATACTCCCTCATCTTGTTTCTTCTTCCAAGGTGCATCACCTCACACTTATCAGGTCAAATACCATCTGCCATTGGTCTGCCCATCTGACCAACCCATCTATATCTTCCTGTAGCCTACCATCTTCTTCACTATAAACGGTTTATAGTGAAGTAGATGGTTCTAGGCTACAGGAGTGGTTCATTAAGCAAATGTACTTCCCATTCATAAATTCATAACAGTGCAGCAAAAGGCCCTTCAGTCCATCAAGTCTGCAGTAACATAATTACCACTAAAAGTGCACTAATCCCAATTTCCTGCACTTGTCTATATTTTTGCAAATTTGCTTAATGTTCTCCCTACATTTTCATCTATATCATTTACGTATATAACAAACAATAAGGGTCTCAGTGCTGATCCTCGAGGTTCACCACTGGACACCATCCTCCAGTCACTCGAACAGCCTCCAACCACTACACTTGTGTCCTATTACTAAGCCAGTTTCTGATCCATCTCGCCAAGTTTCCCTCAATTCCATGTGCTTTAACTTTCTCAATCAGTCTCTGATGTGGGACCTTGTCAAAAGCTTTGCTAAAAATCCATATAAACTACATCAACTTGAACTTGCCAAATCCATACACAATCACATTCTCAAAAAATTCTAACAAACTTGTTAGGCATGACCTCTCTCTGACAAAGGCACGCTAACTATCCTTAATTAACCCATGCCTTTCCAACTGGGTATTTATTTCCTCCTTCAGCATTTTCTCCAATAGGTTCCCTACCACTGACATGAGACTCACCAGTCTGTAATTTCCTGGCTCATCACTACCACTCTTCTTAAAGTGGAACTACATTAGCCATCCTCTGGTCCTCTGGCACTTCTCCTGTGGCCAGAGAGGAATTAAGAATTTGTTTGTTTTAGACCCCCTGCAATTTCCTGCCTCACCTCCCACAGAAGCCTGGGATGCATTTCATCCAGGGCAGGGATTTCTGTTTTGAAGCCTGACAGAGCCTCCCATACCTCCCCATTTCCTATGTCAAACTGTGCAAGTTCCTCACAGTCTCTTTTCTTGAATTCCATACCCACATTCTCCTTTTCCAGAGTGAAGACTGAAGAGAAAGATTCATTCAACACCCTTCTAATATCCTGCATCTTCTCACACAGGTTGCCCATTGGTCCCTAATGGGCCCTACTCTTTCCCTGGTTAGCCTCTTCCCTTTAATGTATTTATAAAATATCTTAGAATTCTCCCTAATCCTGTTCGCAAGTCCTTTATCATCTCCCCTTTTCCCTCTTCTAATTGCTTTCTTAAGTTCCCTCCTGAACTTCTTGTATTGCTCCAGGGCTGCAGCTGAATCACTCCCTTTGGACTTGCTAGAAGCCCTACTCCTCTACTGTATCCTCTCCTGAATTGTCCTAGACATCCAGGGTTCTCTGAATTTATTGCTGCTACATTTCCCTCTAAAGGGTACATTTTGGACATGTACTGTCCCCAGCTCCTCTTGAATGCCGCCCATTGCTCTGCTGTAGACTTACTTGCAAGGAGCTGTTCCCAGTCTGCTGTGGTTGGATCCTGCTTTATTTTAATAAAATCTGCCTTCTCCAATCAGGAGCCGCCTTTTGTAGTCCATCTTTCTCCTTGTCCAGAACAAATCTGAACCGTCCCGTGTTGTGGTCGCTATTGCCTAAACTTTCCCCCACTGCCATATTCAACACTTGCCTGGCTTCTTTCCACTGAACCAGATCCAGCACTGCACCGTTCCTTGTTAGGTCCTCTATGTACTGATACAAAAAAACTCCCCTGGCTACATTTCAAGAAATCCGCCCCCACCCCCACCACCAACTTTTAACACTATGACCACCCGAAATTATGTTGGGAAAGTTGAAGTCCCCTCGTATAATTACCCCATTATTACTCTTACACATCTCTATGAACTGTCTACATATTTGCTCCTCATTTCCTGCTGGTTCTTTGGGGGCCTATAATCCAGTCCCAGTAAAGTAGCTGCCCCCTTAACATTCCTAAGTTCTATCCCCAAAGCTTCATTTGGGGACCCTTCCAAGATATCATCTCTCCTTATTGCAGTAATTGACTCTTTAATGAATAGTGCTACATCACCACCCTTTTTACACCCTCCTCCGTCTTGCATAAATATCCTATACCTTGGAATGTTGAGTTGTCAGTCCAGCCTCTCCCTCAACCATATTTCTGTGATGGCAACAAAATCATACTTCCATGTGTCAATCCATGCCATTAACTCATCAGTCTTACCTATTACGTTCCTAGCATTAAAGATCATTTGATTGACACTCAACTTAGCTGAACTCACAGTGACTTGCTTCATCAATATTCTGTGACCCCTCCCTCTGCCGGACGAATTTAAACTCCTCCCAACAGAACTAGCAAACCTACCTACAAGAATGTTGGTCCCAATGTGGTTCAGGTCCCATTTGTACATATCCCACCTTCCCCAAAAATAGTCCCAGTGATCCAGGAATGTAAAACTTTCCCTCTTGTGCCAACTTCTGAGCCACGCATGAGAGAAGATAACTCTCAGATCAATTAACAGCGCAAATTAAGAAGATATCTGGAGTGTACATTTGGGGACTGGATTTTCAGCCTATATGTTTGCACTCAAGGAGCTGCAGAGAGCCTTAAAGGCTTAACTGTTTGCCTCAAGGCGACAGCCACAATTGACGGATACTTAGATGCATACTTATGATGCCAAGGCGCACAAGGCTATGAGCCAAGTGCTGGAAAACAGGATTAAAATAGTAAAATACTTGTTTTGACTGCACAGACTTGATGGGCCAAAGGGCCTTTTCAGTGCTGTAGACCTCGATGACATTACGACTGGGGCAGTGCCATGGGCAAGGGAATCATCGCTCAAACTTGGACTTTAATCTGCCTTGGAATGGAAGTCAGTCAGTCCCAATGTATCTCTCTGTCGGTTTTGCATTTATAGGTAGCTGTATGTGCACATGAATTTATGCGTGTATCTACTTTTTGAAATTATTTCATTGGGTATGGGCATCATTGGCTAGTCTAGTATTTATTTCCAATCTCAACTGCCCTTAAAAAGGTGATGGTAAGTCACATTCCTGAACTACTGCAGTCCATGATTGCAGGCACCAACAGTGGGATTAGTGAGGGAGTTCTCAGATTTTACTGTGAAGGAACAGAGATATAACTCGTGTGGGTTGACAAGAAACCTGCAGGTAGTTGTGTTTCTATGTAATTGCTGCTTTTACCCTTCTAGGTAGTAGCTGTGACAGGTTTGGAAGGCACTTTCACACAATTATTACAGTGCAGGAGGCCATTCAGCCCATGATGTCTCCACAAGCTCTCCAAATAAGAAACTCAATTAATACCATGCTCCTGCCTTTTCCTCAAAACCTTGTACATCCTTTTCAAATAACTGAATTCCCTGGATTGAACCTGACTCCACAATACTGCCTCACAGTGCATTCCAAATCTGAGTGAAAAAGGTTTTTCCTTGTAACACTTTGCTTCTTTAACAAATTACTTTAAATCTGTGCCCTCTCACTCTTGATCCTTTCATAAGTGGGAACATTTTCTCCCGATTTATTCTGTCCAGATACCTCAATTTTGAATACTTCTTTCAGTTTGCCATCAGCCTTGCCTTCTGAGAAAATCAGTCACAACCTCTCCTGACAATCATCATAACTGAAACTAGTCATCCCTGGAACCTTCACATGAGCCTCTTCTGCAATCTCTCCAATGCCTTTGCATCCTTCTGAAGCAGCAGTACCCAGATCTGGACATAATACTCAGGCTGAGGCCGAACTCGTATCTTCCACTAAAATAAAAGCAAAATACTGCGGATGCTGGAGATACTCAGCAGGTCTGGCAGCATTTGTGGAGAGAGCGAGAGAGAGAGAGTTAATGTTTATGATTCTAATAACAGCCATATACAAGTATATATACAGATAGGAATCTGTTTCTTTCTCAACAGCTGTTGCCAGACTGCAGTTTCTCCAGCATTTTGTTTTAATGTCTTATACCAGCTCAACCTAACCATCTTGCTCTTCATAGAATCCCTACAGTATGGAAGCAGGCCCATCAAGTCCACACTGACCCTCTGAAGAACATCCCACCCAGACCAACACCCCACACCCCCCATCCTATCGCTGTAAGCCTGCACTTCTCAAGACTAACCCACCTAGGCTGCACAACCCTGGGCAATTTAGCACAGCCAAGCCACCTAATCTGAAATCTTTGGACTATGGTATGAAACCGGAGCACCCAGAGGAAACCCATGCAGACATGGGGAGAATGTGCAAACTCCACACAGTCACCGGAGGGTGGAATCGAACCTGGGTCCCCGGCACTGGGATGCAGCAGTGCTAAACATGTAGCCACCCTACTTGCTGTCTATGGTCTTATTAATAAAGCCGAGGAAACTGTTTGCTTTATTAACTTCTCTCTCAACCTGTCCAACCACCTGTATTCATTTATGGACACATACATCCACGGTCCCTCAGCTCCTGTTCTCCTTTCAGACTTGTACCCTTTATTTTATACAGTTTCTCCAGGTATTTCCTACCAAAATGTATCATCGCACACTGCTTTGCAACAATACTCATCTGGTACCCACCTGCCCACTCCATGAACTTGTCTGTGCCCACCTGAAGTCCTACATTATCATCCCCGTAGTTTACAATTCTTTCACGTTTCATATCATCCAAAAATTTGAAACTGTGTCCCATACCCCAAGGTCTAGATCATCAATATATCAAGAAAAACATGGATCCGAATACTTAACCCTGGGGATTTCCACTACAAATTTTCTACCAGCCTGAAAGACGTCCATTAATCATTATTGTGTTTCCTATCACTCGGTCCATTTTGCACCCAGGTTATTACTGTGCATTTTATTCCACAAGCTCTTTTTTTAAACTTTATTATTTGGCGTTGCATAAATTGCCTTCTGGAGGTCCACACACCATGTTAACAACAGAACTGTGGTCAAAAAACTCCAACAAATCAGTTGAACATCATTTTCCTTTTGGAAACTAGTGCTGGCTCTCCTTTAAGCCATATTTACCCACCTGTTTGTTAATTTTGTCGTGAATTATTATTTCTAGAAGTTCCCCCAGAAAAAACGAAGTTAATCCGATTGGTTGGTAGCTGCTTGACTTATTCTTAAAACCTTTTTGGAAAACAGCGCAAGATTTTCAATTCTCAAATACTCTCGCAACACCTTAGTCCAAAGAAGACTGAAAAGCTATTGCCAGTATCTCTAATGACCATTTTCATTTCTTTCATAATCTTCAGCCGCATCTGATCTGGTCCTGGTGTCTTGCTACCTTTAACAACAGGCACACCAACCAATGCCAGCTTCTTTTCAAGGTTAAATCATTCAAGTGACTGAGTATTCTCCTATTTCGTTATGGCCTGAATAGCATCTTCCTCCTTGGTAAAGACAAATGCCTTCTCCCTCAAAGTGTAAATGCTGCTCTTGGTCCCTAATTTGCTCCAATTAATCCTCCTTTTACTAGCCTTTCACTATTTATATAGAAGACTTTAGAATTTCCTTTTATATTGCCTATCAGTCTCTCTTCATTTTCCTTCCTGGCTCTGCTTATTTGCTTTTAACCTCCTCTCTGAACCTTCCCTGCTCAGCTTGGTTCTCAATTGCATTTTCGAGCTGACATCTGTCTTAAGCACACTTTTTCTCCTTTATTATAACTTCTGTCTTTTTGATCACCCAGGGAGCTGTGGATTTGTTAGACCATCCTTATCAAGGGACTTAAGCATGACGGTGTCCAAATCATCGAGGCGCGTCATAGAATAGTCATAGAATCCCTACAGTGTGGAAACAGGCCCTTCGGCCCAACAAGTCCACACTGAACCTCAGAGCATCCCACCCAGACCCGTCCCCGTGTAACCCACCAAATCTAAGCATTCCTGAACACTACGGGCAATTTAGCATGGCCAATCCAGCTAACCTGCACATCTTTGGGAGGAAACCCACGCAGCCACGGGGAGAATGTGCAAACTCCACATAAACAGTCGCCCGAGGCTGGAATTGAACCCAGGTCCCTAGCGCTGTGAGGCAGCAGTGCTAACCACTGAGCCACCGTGCCTAGTTTTCTCTTGTTGGAAATAGTTATTGCCTGGCACTTAAGTGGCAAAAACCATTCATGCTGCACACAAGCCCAAATTGGAATGCTTGAGCATGAGGAGTTGTAAATGGTGAATATTGCTGTGTAATCAGTGGTGATTGCCACTTCTGACATCATGATGGAAGGAACATAATTGAGGAAGCAGCTGACTGGTTAAGAGTTATAATCAAGCATGCTGGGAATTTTGGTCAAGGAAGTTTAAAATCTGACCTCAGTTAAACTGCAGCCAGGACCTACTGAGACTCTTCAGTTTCCTGTGTTGACCAAGTAAGGCAAGTGTCATGGTGATCTCTAGACCTGCTGGCACCACTGCCAGCTTGTATGGAATGGCATGTCACTGTTAATGGCTTGGAATAATCATTTGGGAGCTGTTTACCAGTAAATTCCATTGACTTGGATCAAACAACGTGATCAGGTTATGATCAATTCATTGGCTGAATGCCAGAGAACTTTCTGGATTGGAGCACATTTTCAGATAGTCAATTCTGATATCACGCATGTTTCTTCAACGTGAATTGGCTTTAATGCGATTGAAGAGTTTAGACCGCTATTTATAGAACGCAAACTTTGTTTACCTGTATCGGTTACAACCAGATTCTGGCCCCATTACTTTAAATGGTGCGACTATCGCATGATTTTCTTATAATGCGAGATTGCACGAGAATGAAACTATTGCATCATATCAGAACTAACTGTAAGTTAACAAAACAAAGAGATTTTTCTCAAAGAAGCCTCCAGACCACATTGGAAAAAGTATATGCCCTGAAGTTACTTTCAGAGAAGACAAAGAACCATGAAGCTAGACTTGCATGGAGAACAAAGAAAGATTTAGGGTTAAATGTGGATTAAGTAAAGCTAAGGCAAAGTGAAATTAAATGAAGTGAATTAAAGTTGAAGTTAGATAAGAAGTTAATATTGCAACTAAGGTATGTTTTATATTGAATATTAGTACTTAAAGAGTTAAAATAAATAAATTAGATTCTGAGTCAGTTCCCTGCCTTATGCCTGTCACACAAGGGAGGAATACTGGGGAAAAAGACTGAAGTACACCTTTTCAGGCAAGAGTATCAAGGCTGCTTGGACTCATTTAAAAACAAAAAAGAAGAAATTAGCACTTCTGTCCCCCAAGCCCAGGTACAATAAGACCAAGAGTCAACTCTCCACTGAAAATTTGGCTATAATTAGCACCACATCAGTTTGTACAGCTTAGTGCAACACAGTGCACCCTGATTTACACAGAGACACCTGACAGCTTAGAATTTGAAGTAATTTTGTCTTTAGCACAAATTAAAAGACATTGCTTACTTTCATTGTCTTTGGATCTAGCTTCGACCAGTGCGTAGGTGTAGAAATTTCTTTGCTCTCCCCATCATCCTTCTCCTCCTCTTCCTGTTCAAATATAATAAACAGGAATAATCAGCAATATTTGGAGAATGCCTGGAAAATGTATTCACTCATTTTTTTGAAACAAGAGTTGCCGATCCGTGCAAGTAGCAAAGGTCACAACTGCCCCTCAGATTGACTCCTCCTCAATGTTACTGAATAGAACAGTTCACTCCTATATAAACACACACACACTGTAACTGATCACATGCCACTCATCAGCCAATCAAAGCCAGATCTGTGGAACACAAAAAGGTGATCAATGACATCAAACAAAAGGACTCAAGGGCTGCAGACACTGTTGGTCCCTGGCGGCCAAACAGTGTGTGTTCTCATTCCCTCTCAATAAGTACAAGCCCCCCAGACATATTCACTATCAAAGAGTCTGCTCCACACACCCCACACTGCACGAAACTGTGGCTCAACCAACTGACCTGCAAATCAAATATCTTTGAAAGGTTTGTGCATATCCAATGGTTGTGTAGGTAAGAGGAACATACTAGAGTTAAAAGAAAGCAAGAGAAAGGGGATATGGAAAATTTGGAAAGTAGAAATTTCTGTAAACAGCTAACAACACCTGCCAACTCAACAACTGGTGACAAGCTTCCAGCAGGAACTGGTTTTTTTCTAAGGTATGAAACAGCGAAATATGAACGTAAGTAACTACCATTTGAGGGAAAAGAAGTTTAAAATTCCAAATGTGCTAGTTTTGATTCATTTCTTTTGAGGAAATTTTGAGGATTATTCATTCCGTGAGACCAAATTATGAAAGAAAGCAGGCAGCTCTAAGCTGGGAGCTATGTTACCAGTTACTGTAGCTTTGCATCTATGTCTTCTCAAATGTATGCACTGCTCATAAAAAGAGCCCGTTACTTGATCTGTATGTATGTGATGCACTTTTTTGTGGGTGTCCCTGTGCCTGTGAGAAGCGGAAATGGAAAAGGATTAGCGTTCAGTGCCTGTTCTCCATCAGCCTCCTTGTGTTCAGCTTGGAGCTTCTCAACCAGCTGCTGCTTGTATCCACGGGAGAGCGCTTCCCACTCTGAACGGGTGGGAAGGCAATGCCAAACATCCGGCAGAAATATAACCACGGTCTCCACATGGGCTGGAACCGTCCGCCCCTTGTGGTGCTCCTCGGGGCGATGATAACGGATCTCTGCAAAACGGTACCTGTTGCAAGGGAAGAAGTGTATTGGAAAGGAAAATTCTATCAGACATCACATAGACCCTAAATGTCTCGCAGGATATCAAGCTAGAGAAATGCGTCATATACACTGTTCAATGTCACTTAACTGCAACTGTATGCATCAGGCAGGTGAATAAACAATTCACATTGTTCAGTCATAATAATGGAAGTCCCATCACTACCAAAGATTGGATAGTAACAAGTTTATCTGGGTAGATGCTTGCAGTGAAAAGCAAAACAAAAAACAAATTTTTAAAGACATTGTATAATAACTCACTGCTTTAATGCCTTACAGTTAAATGACACTGGCTGTACAGTTCAGAAGAACTTGCATGGCATCACTGAGAATTTATTTACATAAGAAAATGGAAAACAATTCTATTATCAATTGAACAATAATTATTCATCCCAGTGGCGATATCCTCTCCACGCATGACTTTTCTTCAAGGCATATCACACGTATAACACATTGGCATGAAATAGTTATACAGATTTACAACATTTAAACATATTTATTGAGTACACATTCAGAACAATGAATTATATCGAAAGTGCTTTATGTCTCTCCAATGTCATTCTTATGAAATAATGACATTTCACTATATGAGACATGCATTGCCACATAACAGGTGCCATAAGTGCAGAATTAGCAGAACGACGTCATGTATTTTACCTGGAAAGTGGTTGGCTGCTAGGCAAGAAAACAACAGCTCAAACAGTTAAGACTCGAATCATATAAATTTAACAGAACAGAAAACAGAATCTTAGTGTTATACTGAAAGGCTCTGCCGTATTGCTGGATAATTACTTACCACTGTGTGCAACCACTCAAATCAATGCTCGTCAGGGCCTTACAACATCGGATAGCAGTCCTGATCAATACTGAAGGGTCAGTTTCAGGATTAGGTCCATCCAGAGAGGGAGACCAGTGTCCACCAATGGCCATGGCTTCATCTTTGCCTTTCATTCCAACCAAGAACTACAAGAGAAAAACAATGTACATCGGCATAAGTGTATCTGTCACAATTTACACTTCATGTTTGTAACCAGCAAAGTAAAAAAAATTTGCAGTTAAAATAGTATTTTTTAGTGTAACAATTACTTCTTTAAAACAGTATTTGTTATTCTTTTACCAAAACCTTTAACATAGTCAAAACTTAAAGCAAACTTCATAAAACTTCCCATGTGTAAAAACAAGCACAGGAGTACAAAGACTTTTTGTTGAGAGTTTGCCCTTGTGCTTGGTCTACAATCATAGAATACGGAAGTCTACAGAAGAACTGTGTCTTCCGGAGCTGAAAAGGTAGTTTTCCATGGGATTGGCTAAATAAGTTATGGATTAAACACTACGCCCCACAACTTGCTTTCTACAAATTTCAGATCTATCATTGTAGAAAATAGTTTCCAAGAACTAATCTAGTCCCGTGACTCCTTGTTTAAGATTCCAGTTTCATTGCTACAACATAACTTCTCTTTGCTTGTGTCTACGTTTGCATGGTGGTTTATTTGGAGACTCACGAGGAAACACACTATCATCTTGTATACAGAATTCCTGTACAGGCTTTAAGTTTAGCTTACTACATTTTGATAACCATTCCATTCAAATCTCATGAATCTTCATGTATAATACATTTATAAGAATAGATTAGCAATAATAAAGAGGAACCAAACAATTGTCATGCTTTTTGAAAACTTTCCCATTCAAATCTCATTATTCTTCATTTATTGCACAAATACCACCTTCGGAATAATATGCCTGATCAAACAATTGTCATGCTATTTAAACTCATCCATTCCTGCAAACTAGCCAATTCCATGTCAACCTATTCTTCTTAAGTCAACCTATCACTCCCATGCCATCCTTAACTGATTCCTTCCATCCTTCACATATCAGCCCCATTCCAGCAATCCCATTTCACCTCTCTGGGACACTAATGCTCCAAGCAAAGTAAAAACTTTGTTGCTGAGCTGCTCCTCACTTCTGCCAGTTTTGTACTCAAGCATCCTCCCCCTCTCCCTCCCAGTACTGACACCATCAACTGCTGGCAAATGGGCTTGTGTCACTTGTTCGAGTTCTCAGTGTGACTCACATGCCTGTGTGCACGCCAGGCATCAACAGTTATCGATAAACAAAACGTCTAACTGACCAATCGCACCTCCTTAAACTGATTAATTAAACTAGTCCTTGTAGACAAAATCTGAATCTAATTATTATTTCAAAGGAGACCATGAACTTTTAAAAAGAAATTTAAACTTCCAGTAAACTGAAAGAATTACCTTGTTAGAGCTCATGTTTTAAGCAGAAACATTTACTATGAATTGAACAATGCAAGTATAAATTATAAAACTACATCTTATAAATGGTCATTCCTTAAGCTCGAAGATCCCTGGGTTATTTTTATTTTCACTCAAGAATTACGTCATTTACAAGAAGCTGACGCTTTCTTCATATCTTTTAGGACCAAATGAAGGTGTGCCACAGCTCTCAGGCATTCACTTTGATTTTCCTCAGTGCTCTTGCCATTCTGCGGTATGAGATGTTTTGCTATTGCTCCACGACCATCTTTCAAGGCAACCTACCAAACCCTCATGATGGTGGGCACCCCATCATAAACATACATCGCACAGCTTTCTTGCTCAAATACCTCAAAATCAGATAACATATTAACATACTAACATATAAATTTTAAGTAGAAGTCTGTTATTTGGCACTTCAAACCTGCTCCATAACATCATGTTTATCGGTGTTCTGAATCCCACATTCCCATTTACTCCCATGATGTTTAAATTCTTGTTAGGCAAAGGAATCAATCTCATCTCTGTCCTTAAAGGGTGATGCCTAATTTTAAAGCAGCGCCCCCTAATCTCACGCACACTCAAGAGGAAGCATCTTTTCCACATCCATCTTGTCAAGACCATTTATGATCTCATAAGCTTCAGTCAAGTCACCTCTCTCTATTCTAAACTCCAGTGGAAACAAGCCCAGCCAGTCCAATCTATCCTCATATGACAACCCACCTATTCCAAATGTCATTCTCGCAAACCTGCTTGGAATCGCCTCCTGTCAGTGTCCCACAAACAAGAATTCACTTCTCCCTAAGCAGTTTTTGAGTCATTCTCTAATCTCACTCATCCTATGCCAATTTGCACATGGTTCAGATAGTAATCTAGAGATTACTATTTTTGAAGTTCTACTTTTTAATCTAGCACCTGACTTCTCATACTCTCTCAACAGAACCTCTTTCCTAGTTTGTTGTTGGTGCTGACCTAGATCACAACCACCAGATTCCGAGACAACAAGGTGCAGGGCTGGATGAACACAGCAGGCCAAGCAGCAT